GGTGGTGCGGGGGCCCCAGCTGCAGGTACCTGGCCCTACTGGGACATGCCAGAGGGCTTGGCTCACCCAGCCCTCTCCTACCTTCTCCTAGGCTCAAGGAGAGTACCTGCCCCTCCCTGACAAGGTACTTCAAGCTGCAGTTTTTCTATGTCCCTGTGAAGAGGAGCTGCTTGGCTCCATCAACCCTGCTGATGCATCCCTCCCCATCTCTGGGGGACCCGCAGCTCCGGGCCTCAGCACAGGCGGTAGGTGTCCTGCTCGCCACGGGGCTTGCAGTGCCACTGGCACTCTGCTTGGCCCTGAGAGCGGTGTGTGAGGAGGCTGGCAGGGCAGGCTGAGGGGAGCGTTGGTGTCTCTCCCACCAGCCCCAAGCGTGGGGTGAGGAGCCTGGGGGGGGGCCCTGATGTGACCCCTGCGTGTCCGGTTTCAGGATCCCACCTTGGCTGGGATGGAGAGCAGCACCAACGACATCTCCCACTACATCGGCATGTTGGACCCGTGGTACGAGCGCAACGTTCTTGGGCTGATGAACCTGCCCATGGATGTCCTGTGTCAGGTATGCGCATGCAAGGTGGTAGGGCTTAGCGTCCCCCTTCCCCGAGGTACATGGCAGCTGAGCAGAGAGCTTCTGCTTAACACTGGGCCACCACGATCCTGTACAGCAGGCTGTGCTACATGGACACAGGATGGAGACGGGTGGTCAGGAGGAGGGTTTCCATCCCCCCAGGGTGGGACAGGCAGTTCTTGGCACCGGGCTGTGGGTACCGTGTACCCCATCAGGCTTGTGACTTATTCTCTCGCTGCAGTCTGCCAAGCCAGAAGCTGAGCCCCAGGAGGACTCCCAGGAGCAGCTGCCCATCCTGGCCGACATGATCCTCTACTATTGCCGCTTCGCCATGCGCCCCATCCTGCTGCAGCTCTACCAGACCGAGGTAGGCAAAGGGGCTCAGCCGCATCCTGGTGAGGGGGAAAGGGAGGTCTTCTGCCTGTGCCACCGACTCAGGACCTGCCTGTGAAGCGGATGGGGGTATGGCACAGCCAACCGTGTGCTGGTGAGGCAAATCTCGGTCTCCTCTTATTCCCTGGGTGCCCATGGTGCTTTGGCCAATGCTCCTGGCTCAGGGATTGAGAGCATGCAGGTCCTGTGTAGACAATCCTTAAGTCACACGAGCAGTTTTCCATCCAAATACCTTTCCCCATGACACAAAGCGACTCCTGTCAGTGCTGACAGGTTATTCACATCGCTTGGAAGTCCCTCCAGTGCTCTGCTTTCCAAACCAAGCCCCTCCATGAAGCCTGTTTTCCACGCCCTGCTGTGTGCACAGGGCAGAGGTGGTGGGGAAGGTTGAGTGCACGGCTGCAACGACCGCTTTGGTGCGGTGGCACGGGACCAGCTGCAGTGGGGCTGTGGTGAGCAGAGTTGCTGCTGTTCATGGGATTTGTGTCACCCAAAGCGATGCCCAGACCCTGCTGTTAGGCTCATCGTGGGTTTTCTTTCCAGTGGGCTGGGGAGTTTTCTTTAAGTGAAAACTAGGTTTTTGGGTTGTTTTACTTGCTGGTGGTCTGTTAAAACAGTCGGAGGGCAAGCTAAAGGCAAGTGTCACCCAAGGCAGTTGTTGAAAGGTGTGTTTTGAAAACGTGAAAGGATTTTCCCAAACTGACCTGTTTCCTGCAGAAAGGAGTGAGGGGGTGAATGTTGCCTGGCACGGGCTGGGTCTCCTCACCACCACGTCTTCCCTCTTCCCCTGGCAGCTCACCTTCATCGGGGGAGAAAAGATGACCGAAGTCTTCATCCATTCCCTCGAGCTGGGCCACTCAGCGGCCACGCGGGCCATCAAGGCGTCAGGTCTGTAGCTGCTTCTGCACCCGCAGCCTCAGGGTGGAGGTCTGCAAACCACTGGGCTGGGAGATAAATGGAAAGAGGGGCTGGAGGGAGTGTGGGCTGCAAGAGGTGTCTGAGCCCAGGCTGCATCGTGAGCAAAGATCCAGACATCTCTTCACAAATTTGGAGGTGAAGCATCATAGTTCTTGCATTCCTCTTCAGGACCGAAGCTGTGGCAATGCCTTGTTGTTTTTACTGCTGTTAACTCTAAAACATATTTGCAATAACACAGCTTCAAGCCCATTTCCTTCCTCTCATCAGCACCTGGCCAAGTGCAGCTCTTCATCTTTTCTTTTTGCTGCTTTCTGTTGTTTGTGCTGTGTCCAGGAGTGTCATTTATAAAAACCCTCTTTCAGTTTCCTTAGTTAACTGGGCAAAGCAAGGTTCGTGCGTGTGCTTGGAGCCTTCCTGCAAGGGAGATCCATGAGCTTTTACACTAGGAATTTATAAAATTATTAGAGACAAGAAGCAATGGCAGAAGCATCTGCCTGCAGCGTGGTCTCCAGCTCTCTCCGGGGTACCAAGGGCAACATGCTGTCTGGTGCGGCGCAGCTCGCTGAGACATCTCATGGCCAACCAACAATACTGCATTTAAACACGTTGCTTAATTTTTTTAACCAATTGCTTTTCTGTGATCTTGCCTTGTCTTTCTAAACAGAGCTCATAAAATATCCTCCATATGAAGTGTCACCACCCCACTCCCCCAAAATACAGGCTTGGCCAAGACCTGTTCCCAATAACTCATGAAACCACCAATCCTTTCTGACTTTGATTTTTTTTTTTTTTTCCTTGGGTTGTCTGGCAGCACACCACTTAACATCTGCAAAAAATTATCCAGGAAAAAAAAAAGTTAATAAGTGTCGGGCACAGTATTTCAAGGCTAATTTAATGTGGGCACAAATATGCCCGGAAAAACAGGAGCTGGGTTAGCAATGAGGCCTTTTATTGCTTTGTGTTTTCCCTGGAGCACTGACCCCTCTGCACCGGCTTAGCCAGCACCGCTTTCAGTTTTGCAGAGCTGCTTGTTGTGCTTTGTGTTGAAATTTCTGCACTGGATTAATTGCTTTCTGGCAGCTTTTAAGCCACCTTTTCTTTTTGCCTTTTTGCTCCACAGCTGTGTTCAGGAAAACCGTTTTTTTCTTTCCCTTTCTGTAGGTACTGAGTGTGCTGCTGTATCAGTAGCCAGCTGAAGAATGGGGATAAAAGGCCACTGTGTGACATTTGTTCCTTGTTTTGTGCAGGTCCAGGCAGCAAAAGGCTGGGCATAGATGGAGACAGAGAAGCAATCCCACTAACACTACAGATCGCCTACAGCAAGGTGAGTGCATGGGACTTGCACAAAGACAAATGGGGCAGAAAACCAGTGCTGGGCAAACATGTCTCAGCTGGGGGCTGAGAGAGGCAAATGCTGACAGTCTGCTGGAGGAGCCCGAATGCAGGCCCAGATGAGCCAAACTCAAGTTAATTGTCTACTTGCTGGCTAATTGGGGGTGGCTTTCCACTCCTGTTCAGCCCAGTGAAATAGGGAACGTGCAGCCAGTTTCCATAGACTGGACGTGTAACTCAGTGCCGCTTTACACTGGTGGACTTTGCTTCCAGGGAGCGATCTTCTGCTGGTCACCGCAGTCGTCCGATTTTGTTGGTTCCTTTGCAGTTATTTAGTGTTAAGCCTGGGCAATTTTTGAAAATCTAAGGTTAAATGTATTTTAATGCCTATTCAGACTTTGTCTGTGCAGCTCCAGGTGAATCCAGATCTGAGCTAGTCCAGCCAGATGGTTAGGGGTGGGAGGCAGGGTAACATCAGCCTGGAGCGTGGCATCTCATGGGCTTTGGTTGGTCTCTGCAGACAGCCGTCAGTGGAAGAAGTCACTGGAACGATGTTGAGAAGGTCTGCACGTCTGTCAACCTTAGCAAAGCCTGCAAGAAGTATGAAGAACTAGGTGGGTAGAGGTGGTCTTTGTGGCTTTGCGTAGGGAGCAATGGGAGGGACTGGTGGAGCAAGAGGACAGCGTGGATCTTCTAGCTGGAGCAAAGCAGAGATGCGTGAATGCAGGAGAAGATACATGGAAGGTTCCTGGGGTTCCCTGGGGCATACTGTAGTCCTTTGCTGTCCTTAGCACCATGTCAGGCACAAAGGGCATTTGATTTCTCATTGTCCTAAAGCTTCCAGCCAGGGAAATGGGATGTCTGTTAGGGATGGGGCTGGGACCGTCCAAACAGCAGGGTGATCACTGCAGAGCGGTGCTTTCCAGAACAACACTTGTTTAGTAAGGAGAAGGAGAGACAGGTAAAACTGTTGTTAAGTGAAGTAGGACCGAGGGAGAGAGTGCTTGTCCTGCCGTCTGCAGCAGCCGTGCCTTGCAGCCAGCTTTCAGCAGTCCCTTGCTAAGCTGGTGCTTCAGCCTGGTTTCCTTCCTGCATCTCAGAGATAGCTGGCTGCCACATGGGTTTGCTTCATAGTTGTTTTTCTAATCAGGTTTCCGATGGGGTATTAATAAGGCTTTGAGCCTTTTAAAAGCAGCAAGACTTTTAGTCTGTGTGTGTATTTAGAAGCAATACCTGTTCATTCTTGCTTAAGAACTGCTGTTTTGGCAATCAGACACCCAGTTCTGAGTAAACTGAGGGGGTTTTTAGTTCCTCTTTCCGCATGTGCTTTGTGTCTGGCAGATGTGTGGTTTGTGAGCGGAGTAGTCGGGGCAAACAGGTGATCTACCAAATAGGAGACAGCTCCTGCATGCCCCACGGAGCCCAACCTAAATCTCTGTCCCTCCTGTCCCACCTGTTGCTGCCCCATCCATGAAGCCATGCAGACAACCCTGGAAAAAACCCAGCAGGAGCTAATTTCTCACCTCCTCAATATATTTTAAGTTGGGTGTTTCTGCGCTAGTTCAGGAGCTTCGCTTGTGCTACTAGCGCTGTGAGTTTGCTTCAGGGGGTGTTCTCAGTTCCATGTTGGGGAGAAGCTTCTCCTTCAAGAATCTCCTTCCTTCCAAGAGAAACCCGGTCCCCTTGTCTCCGTTGGTTTTCACATTCAGCAGTTTGACCACAGGATGTCACTGTAATTCCAGACACGAAAAAGCATCTCCAGGTGGACTGTAAGAATGGCCAAGCTGGGAGAACTAGAATTTCCTCATGATGATGGGACAATGTTTTTTTTTTCTCCTGATCAGGTCCTAAGATAGTTAAATGTCCTCTTCTGCTATGTTTGGAAGGCTGTTGGAAATTACAGAGGATGTTTACCTCTGTGTCTCTCATTGCTTTCTTTCCGTGTGGGTCAGCATGAGGGAAGTAAAGCTAGAACTGTACTGCATTTCCCCCAGTGGTGGGGTCCTGCTGAGAGCCACTGGCTCTGGGGTGCTTTGAGGGGTGGAGGGACTACTTGGGTTCCAACCAGTGGCCCAGAAGCTCCAAGTGATAACAGTTTTCTTTTGTTACAGCCTCAAAGACAGAGTGTCTCAACTTAACCATGACCGAAGTGGTCAAAAGGCAAAACTCCAAATCCAAAAAAAGTTTCAATCAGGTAACTCAAACCAAGGGGCTTTTACATTTGGTAACAGGAGGTCAGCCTGACTCAGCTGGGAGGGGAGCAGGGCAGGAGACAGTAGCTCCTTGGGGCATCCATTTGCTGTTGGCCACCAGGCCTGCCTTAGGGGTGCCCAGCTCCCCGGCTCCCCTTCCCTGCACAGGGAAATGCTCTGAGCCTGGCAGCTCCCTCACTCAGACTCTTTTTCTATCAGCAGATCAGTGTGTCCCAGATAAAAGTAGACAAGGTCCAGATTATCGGTGTCCAGTCCTCCTTCGCCGTGTGCCTGGACCAGGATGAGCAGAAGATCCTGCAGAGTGTAACCAGGTAGGAACTGCAACGTGGCCAGCTGCCCACTGCAGCCAGCCCTCCTGGGATGGTGCATCCTGTGTGTGAGGACTTGTCCATGAAGCGTGGGTGGCCACCAGCGGGACGAGGTCCCCATGGTGGATCCACCATGGTGGATCTATGCCAGATGCCCAAGCTGGACGACATAGCTCCAAGCTCTGTAGTGCAGCTGAGCTCAGGTGGGATGGATGGTCCTGCTCAGATCCCAGCAGCAGTTTACCTTCATGACTGCCACAGTCTAAAGGGTGGTCCCCAGTCAACTGTTCAACTCTGTAAAGACAGCTCTTTCAGCAAGACCAGTCATAAGCCAGAGGAAAGCTATGCAACATAAATGAGGTATTTGGAGACCACTGGGCATATGAGCAGAGCCTTCAACTTCTGAACCTCATGTTCTCCACCACCTTTGGCATACCCATTGCAGAAGGAACCCAAGATCTTCATGGGAGAGACTGGGGTAGAGCAAGAATTGTTCATCTGACTGTTCATCCATCAGTCATGTCCCCAGGGCACCAAGCTGGCTCCCCAGGTGATGGAATTTGAAAACTCACTGTAGACAATATACTTCCATGAGCACAAAGAGATCAAACCAGTTGATCCACAGGTCTTAAAAATGTGCAAGCATTTTAATTTCTTCCTCAGAGAGAGCAGAACTCTGCAAGGTTATGCTGCCTCCAATGGAAAAAGATTTCGGATCTTGTTTCTTAAATAACCCTAAAGTGTTTTACTTAACTTGTTTGTTGTGCAACTCGAGGGGCCAGTGAGAGAGTTCAATGCACAAAATGGAAGAGGAGCTACTTCCCTCTCACCAAAACTTGGGGGTGCAAAAGTTCTCGTTTTCCCTAATGAGTTTCAGAAATTACTCTTTATGGATGCTTCTGCTCTAGGTCCCAGTCTGAGCCAGCTTGAAGACCTGAACTCTCAGCACTCAAACTCCGGTCCTGTTAAAGACTGCACTGATTCCTGTTTGTTTGCAGATATTTCGGCTACACCTGAGGACCATGATTCTCAGCCACACACCTTACTTATAACTTGGTTTCTTTTTGTTCCCCTGCAGGTGTGAGATCTCTGTGTGCTACAAACCCAGGGACAGCGATCTCTTTGCACTGAGAAGGTCCTCTTTGCCTTCCCAGGACTCCTCTGAGTTTCATTCTCTCCTGTGTTTACCCATTGCCACCTTCAGTGGAGCACTGCCGTAGAAGAACCCTGTGTCCTCTCAGGCCAGACTCACATCCAACACCAATATAGCCTCAGGAAGAGGAAGTTGACTGTCCTCCTTTGGGCTGGAGACCCATCCGTTCTTGTCCAAGACACCCTGCAGACCAAAGCGTTAGGGTGTCTCAGCATGGTGGCTGAGCTGCTCCTGGTCTGGGCTTAGCCCATCCTTGGGAAATGGGAACACTGGTGTTGTGCTCTGGTATTTCTCAGGGTTCCTCAGCAATGGGAGGAAAGTGGTTTCCTTGAGATCCCCACCTAGTTCAGCAGACTGCCAACACCTGGTTTGAGAGGGCAAGGCAAGGACAGTGATATTTTCCTGCCAACAAATGGTGCTGTGGCTGTATTTGACAGTGACTGCAAGGCCAGTGTGATCTGGGGGGAGCTCATGGGGAGACTTTTTGGAAAATGAATGTCCTTGACTGAGCGGTGGTAGGTGGCCTTCCACGCATGCAGAGTTGCAGACCACCCAACTGAAGTCCTGATGGCGTTTCACCCTTAACAGGTCGAGGATGCTCAGGACAGTTCTTTTGGGATGGGGACAGGCTTTCTCAACATTTCCTTTAAATTATGAAGGTTGGGTGTCTTGCAGAGAAACAGTGCAGAGCAGAGCGACACAGCAGAGGCCTAGAAAGACCCCAGCATGGGTTGTAGACTGCTGCTTGCGTTCCAGTGAATTGAGTGCAATAGGCCATACCAGGGCATGGACAGCTTGTCATGTATACATGCGTTTACTGTAAATCCAGGATCTGCAGGACTGAACTTCTAATTTCTGCAGAATTTCAGAGTTCACCCAGGAGATGTACTCCCTGTTCAGCCCATGTTCTTGCGTCCTGCTCCCCAGCACTGTACGCTAGAGACATCCCAGAGGCTGAATCCTCAATAGTTGCTTGAAATATGGCAGGAACCATGCTCACATTCATAGGAGGGAGGGAAGTACTAGGGAAACCACTAGGATTGCCTAAAGCTTACCTGAGGAGGCAGCTTTGCTAGAGAAGGACCCAGCACCAAAAACACTAGTGACACTTGCAAGCGACGATAGGATTTGAGATCCCCCCCTCCCCTGCAAAGAGGTTCTCCGTCCTCTTCATTCTTTCTGCAAGGCTGTAGGTACAGAAAGGTGCAATACTTGGGGGTATTTAGAGGTATTCTGACCCCAGGAGGAAAAAATGAGACTGGAAAAGCCTTGCCTGGTTTCATAGCCCTCAAGTTGTTTCTCGGTAGTTTTTGGTGATTGCACTAATGATAACAGGCAGAAGAGCATGCTGCCTGCTGCAGGCTAAAAGGATCTTAATGCCGAGGACATGTGCTCCTTGGAAAACATCTGGAAGGGACCCCCGATACTGTTGGGGAGCTGCAGGGCTCAGCCACGGTGTGATCAGTTCAGCATGGGTCCCTTGATCTTCCAGAAAACGGGACCTGGTCAGCTCTTAGCACTAGTTAGAACAACGTTGGGCTCTGTCCCCAAGGGCTGGTGGCACAGCAGTGGTGTCATTTGAGGTTAAATCTGCCAGGAAAAGGACCAGAGCCCCTGGGGGCATCACTTGTCTCTGAGGAGCATGGGTCAAGCTTGTCTGCTGGATTCCTCCACATCCCTCCTGGAACTGTTCGGGAGATCCCTCCTGTGCCAGCGACTCTGATCCTGGCCCCACTGGCTGCTGGACCTGCTTTCTGTCCCCACTGCCCCTGTTGTTTGGGGACACCTTGGTCTGGGCCCAGTGGTGAACATCTTGGGTTGAGAAGGTGCCAGCTGGCTCTTTGGTGTCCTCAGCAGCTCTGGATGCAGCTTCTGCCAGTGGCCAGAGATGAGCAAAAATGAGACGTGAACATGCTCCCGAGGCCTCTGCTCTTCATCCTTCTACTTGAATAAACCATCCCAAGGATGGTATTGCCTTGTGGACTCCAAGAAAAGACCCTCATGTGGGGCAAAACATCACTTGAACATATGCAGGTGCTCTGGCTCTACCATGATGCAAAGCCAGCTTGGACTCCCGGCAAGGACCCACCTTCCTCGGCCACACACCAACCCTGGGAGCACCCACCTTTTCCTATGTGCTTGGAGCAGTGTCCGTCCCTTGCTCGCAGCACGGACTTGGCAGGGACACCAAGACACTGCCAGGTCGTGGTGGGCTCTCCCCTCTCTCACAGGGTGCCTGCGGGGTGATGTGGGAACGCATGCTGAGGTCACTTGCTGTGCACTTCTGCACATCAGTATTTTAAGTCCAATAGGCTCCAGGGATCAGAAACAGATTTTAATAGCTCTTTCCACGCACTTGGAAAAAGTTTTCCCACTGACTTTTCATTTCCCGAACAGGTTTGTGTTTCTCATATGGGGCTGAAATTTGACAGCTGGGTTTTTTGTTCAATACTTTAAAATAGCACCTTATCCTGTCAAAACATTGCTGTTTGTGATCTTGATATCCGTGGCTAAATATATCCCTGCTGCTGTTAATGATATAAACTCTTTGGTTTCAGCTGGCCCTACAGAAATACTAGAGAAGAGAATTTCCATCTCATAGAGAAAAACAAGCATGAACTCTAGGGACTCATAATCCTGGCTAAGGTTTTGACCTCTGATGCTTTCTGGAAAGAAGTGTGAGGTTCTTTCAGGTCATCCTTGTACATATGTTAAGCCTCACCAAATCTGTGTAATGTTTGTGCTGATCTGTAAAATACTGTTCAAAGAACTTTTAAGGTAATTGTAAAATATTAAATGTTGATTTATTTCGAGTACAAGTACAGCGTTTGAGTCGAGTAATTCCTAAGCAGGTGGGAGGCACAGGAGGAGGCTCCATATCTCCACAAGGAGGGCAGGGAGCACCCGGGTCGTTTGCAGAGTAGCAGCCCTGAGAGCAGGAAAAGGCTCATAAAGTCATTATGTTCATAAGCCTGGTCCCAGAGGGCATGACATGGAGACCTGCAGCGGTTAATTGACCTGCTTCTGTTCCGTGAGTAAAACAGGTTTTGATGCTGTAAATCCAAAATCGGTTTCATGCTGGATTAAGGAGAAAAGGAGCTAGCAGAGCTGCTGTGTGCAAGGGGAGATCTGCGCATACCCGTGTCTTCTAGGAGGCTCCTTGACCTTTGCTGTGATGCTTTGCAGAGAAATACGAGACGCTGAGAGCTGAGCACACGGCAGCTCCTGGGGCCACGGGCGAGGTCCAGCCCCGGGGTGCACAGCAGAGCCCTGAGACGAAGGGTGACTGCTCGGGGTCGGGCAGGTTTTTGCCCAGCAGCCGGGTATTGGGGTATTTCTGACTTGGAAATATCTTCTGCGTCTTTGGGGATGCAGACTTTGCAGATGGAGCTGTTGCTACTGACAGTACTCTGAAATATGAAATGACACTTGCAAATGTTTAACTGTCTCAAGTGTCGCCCTTCTCTTCCTGTGGATATTCAAGGATTAGTTGGTAGGTGTGAGGGCCAATGTGTCGTAATCAAATAAACAACGTGGGAAAAGTCATTTCAGCTCAGATGAGCCAAAACCTAGATGAGAATAACTTTTGTTAATCAGCACTTTGTTATGTATTAGCTATCAAATTTTTTCACTCTGATTAGAGAATAACAAAAGGTGCTCTTTAAATCAAAAGAAAAGGGTCTTTTGAAAAGGCAAATAAAATTTGAAAGGAAAATACTTTATTTTCCAAGCTGGAATGATAATCTGCTTTTGTTTGTTCTCAACAACAAAAAACCCCCTAAACCACAAATCCCCCTTCCCTGTTCTTTTATTTTTAAAAAGAAAAGTGGAAAGAGGAACACGCATGCTTAAATCCGAAGCAGAAAGAAGGTACTTTGTTCTAAAAACGTGCATGACGAAAAGTTTAGGATCAGGGCTCAAGTCTGATCCTTGAAGTGCTGCATAGCTGAGGGTTTTGTTCTTGTAAGTACAAAAGACTTAGCAAACAGCTGCTGATAAAATAAGCAAGGCCGGGTTAAGGCTAGACTATTTAACAAAACTCTTGTAGATACGGTCAAATCAACTCGACGGAGCTTTTTCCAACTCTCACAGCACCAAAGCTGAGCTGGTCTGTGGCCTGTCTGCATCTGTGAGGGATGGGAAGACAGTGAATAAGGTGCGTTCGGCGTTTCAGGCCGGGAACGCCAACTTACATTGGCGTCCTGAACGAGATAGGTTATACCACAAAAAGAGCCTTGGCGTTTTGGTATGTGTTAGTTTATCAAGGTGCAGTGGCAGTTTGAGATGGTCCCCTGCTCTGTCAGGGGTTGTCGTCCCACAGCCACCTCAGCCGAAGCTGCTGGACTCGGCACAGCTGGAGTGGGAACGCACTATGGGGTGACTTCTCACCACCCACCATCAGTGGTGACCCTCCATCCTCTGGTCTCCTCCAATGGCACTTTGTGCATAGGTGCTCCTCATCTTTACTGGTGTGATCCGCACAGCTTCACCTCACCAGCACAAGAAGGAGCATCCCAGTGCATCAGGTGCCAGTGTGCCATAGGAGTTGGTTGAGAGCCAAATCTGCCAGCCCAGAGCCACCACGGCTCAGCGCTGGCAGGGAGCGAAGAGCTTCATGCATGCAGGCAACGTCAATCAGGTTGCTCAGGGTCCAGCTAAGGTTTGAATAGCTTCAAGGATGGAGATATTCTAGTGCATGAGGTGGAGAACAACATAAGCCAGTGAACATCCAGAGAAGGGGTCCTTAAGTAGCCAATCCTGATCTGGTGGCTAGTTAGGAACACAGAATGAGTTAGCATCAATAGGCAGGAATGAGCTTGCCTGTGCTGGATCCGCTATTAAAGTCATTAAGATACTCCTCTGAAAGGTAGAAAAAGCAGGTGCCATCCTCTTTTGGCAGGTGGGGCAATAGAACCTGTCTTCCGTGGTCTAAGTAGGTTATCATCAGATTGCTGTGAGGCATGACGAATGCTCCCAGACAATGACAGCTGTATCTTGAAGTCAGCTGTATCTGACTTTTCTTTAGCTTTACCGTCACGTAGGGGAAAAAGTTTATTTGCAAAGTTC